ACCTTTGACTAAGCTCTCCTTCCTTGATTTCTCAGCAAACACTCCGCACTTTTGAATCTTTTCTAATTTCTTTGTTAGCTCCTCTTTCTCTGTATCCACATCTCATAGATCAGTGATCTGGAAGGTTCCAACCTTGGTTGTCTTCTTTTGCACTTTACCTGCCTCTCTGGGTGATTTAATCCACTTCTGTGGCTTCAACCAACAGCTGTATATGTCGATAACATCAAAATTAAACACCTCTCCAGATGTCGCAGTAGGGAGATGGAAATATGGATCTGGTACTCTAGAGAGGTGTTTAAATTTCCCTCTCTGTATTGGAATCTTCACCTGGATGTCCCACAGGCATTTCAGATTCAGCACATCTACAACTGAACTTATCTCTCTCCATGTGCATCTCCAAATTGTTCTTTTGGCCTGTGGTCCCTATGTTAATTACCGGCACAAAACCCACTAAATGGTCTAAGCTGGAAATGTGACTTCTCTCTCATCTTTTGCAGCCAGTCTCCAAGTTCTCTCCAATCTACCCCCTAAAAAGTTATTTAAAAAAAAAGTTTGTTTGCTTGTTTAGAGAGTGAGCGAGCAGGGGAGGGGCAGAGAGAGAAGTCCAAGCAGGCTCTGCATTGACAGCAGGGCTCAACCTCATGAACCCTGAGATCATGACCTCAGCTGAAATCAAGAGTCAGAGCTTAACCGACTGAGCCACCCAGGTGCCCCCTTCCTAAAAAGCTATTAAATGCGTCTTCTCTTTTCTATGTTGACAGCCAGGACTTAGTCGAGGACTTCAGAGGCAACACTATACCTAAATCTGCCCACTCCAATCTTTTATACCCTGGTCTGAACTACTACTATAACATGCAGATCTAATCATGCTGCCTTCCCACTCCAAATGCTTTAATTGCTTTCTCTTGCCACTAGAGAAATTCCAAAATTCTTAGCAAAAAAACCCCAATGCAAAATTCAAAAATTTTACTACACTTCACACAGAACTATTCCTTCAGACCATTTCAGAATACTAGAGCTTTCCTGAATACACTATGCCTCTTGGAGGCTTTATGAAGGAAGGTTCCTTTCCCTCAAAATGTCTTCCCCTCCTTTGTCCAACTGGCAACTTACAGTGTACTTCAAGCCTGTCCTCAAATGTCACTACCTCAGTGAAGGCTTTCCTAACTGAACACCCACCCTTGCACCCCCAGGGCCATCCCACTCCTGTCCTCGATTATAGTCCTTAACTGCCCCATGCTGCTGGTACCCCACACTCCCACTTTCCTGCACTGAGCTCATTACGTCTGCATTTCGGGCACTCCAATGCAAGTCCCTTGAGGGCAGGGACCCTAACGGGTTCATCTTTACCTTCTTACACAAAGCACAGTAACTGAAACACAGTAGGCCTTCAGAAAATATGTGCTGAACAAAGGGCAACAATTATGTGCTACCATTCACAGAGTGCTTTACATGTGTGAAACACTTCACACCATTATTTCATGTGTGGACACAGCCACCATGGAGGGGATACCACCCCATTTTGCAAGTGAGAAAAAACACTTAGAAAGGTAAAATAATTTGCCCAAAGTCAATAACTGATAAACTTAGGTTTGCTTTTGACTCTAAGCTCCTGTTTTTAACCATTCCATTCAATTCCTAGATGAAAGAGACTAGATAATGGGCTCCATTTCTATAAAAACAATGTCTCTTGGTCGCAGACTTAGGTGCTGTGTTAGTCCTAAATCCATTACCATCATGGTTCTTGTGCACAAGAAAACCTTGATGATGGATTCCTAGTGGCTTTCAGGCTTCTCAACACTAAGAAGAGGAAGCACCGGGGCACCTGGGTGGCTCAGTCGGTTGAACGTCCAACTTTAGCTCAGGTCATGATCTCGCAGACTGTGAGTTTGAGCCCCACATCCATCCAGCTCTGTGCTGACAACTCAGAGCCTGGAGCCTGCTTCAGATTCTCTGCCCCTGCCCCACTCATGCTTTGTCTTTCTTTCTCTCACAAATAAACAAACATTAAAAAAAATTTTTTAAAAAAGAAGAGGAAGCACCATTTATTACAATTATCTCCTTGGTCTCTGGCTTAGGATGCACTTCTCTAGAAACACATAGAGAAGGCTAGATTTCTCCTAAGTACCAACAGGTTTCACACGTTGGTGTAACATTCATGCCCTATCCTAGGAACAGAGAAGTGGGTGTGAGAGATCATGATGGTGGCAAGTAATGGAATGGATTTTAATGGGTGTGCTGGAAGTAGCTGCAGGGCTCTGTAATCCCTCCTTGTACAATACTCTCACCACTAGAACAACAGGAGCTTTCCACTCCCAAATCTAGACTCTCAGGGTTGACAACATACCATTATGTACATGCTCAGTGATTCATCCCTGGACACACGTACTTCTTGTTTCTGACCCCACAGTATGGTACTGCATTCAGGTATCCTTTTCGGTCATCCTCTTTTAATTCTACTTGTTTTCTGTTAAATGCATTCTAAAATTGACTTCTTCAATTTTCTCTAATTCTAATGACATTTTACCCTCAGTTCTCTATTTTCTAATACCTCCACCACCCCTACAACTATCCAGCACACAACTGAAACCAGTCCTGTGCTTACCCTGATTAATTCATTTAATTCTGTCAACTCACAGATGATCAAAACTGCCCAAGGTCACTCAGCTAGTAAGGACACACACATACACTGGGCTCCAGACATGAGGACTATTTGCCAGTATTCTCTTTGTAACCTGTTTACTGTGTTGGGAACTCTCTGTCTCTACTCAACCTTTTTCACCTGCTAAATTCCTATTGGTTTTTTAAGGTTTAACTCAGGGGTCACCTCCTCCATGGATTTCTCAGGTTTTCTATATTTGTGTGTTCTCTCACTCTCTATCATCCGGGTAAGATGCCTTGGCCATGGGCTTCATCCCCTCCCTGTTTACGGTTAAGTGTAATTAGCAGACTCTTCTATCCCCCTTATTAGGCTGTAAACTCCTTCAGAGCAGGGCAGGGTCTGGGTCTTGACTTGGGATTCCCAGTACTAGCACAGTGTGTAACATATGGCATACACATAACAAATGTTGAGTAGTGACCCCACTTCCCTGCTTTGGCCATCTGCACTAGCAAGAAAAGACTTCTCATCATGAGCAAAGCCATTTTCTCAGCTCTTCATGAACTCACTGTCTCACTAGGTTTACACTGGGACAAGGAGTTACTATTAGTTGAGGAACTACCACTTCTCAGACACTGAGCTGTATGTTTTGTGCATTATCCTGACAGGTCAACAGCATCCTCACTTTATGGATGAAACTCAAAATCAGTTATCCTATCCTGTATGACTGTCCATACAGTCATACAGAAGGAAGGCTTTGTTTAAAAGCATTATAAAATGCTGTTATGTACAGCCCTGTCCTGGAGAGATTCATTAGTATTTGAAATTACTTGCACACATACGTACACACACATCTACTGTATCAATTTAGATGTTGGAGTAGTGAAAACATGGTTAACTAGGGTTTATAGAGGTTCAAGACAGTTCTACCATATGCATTCTCTAGGTAAATCATGCCTGTAGTCTTCAGTTTCTATCAGATAAGGAGGGATTATAATACCTACTTAGTTCAAAGGGGTTGAATATAAAAAAAAGATCGTTTGCCAAAATGCTTTGTTAAAACAATGGTTGGAGGCCCATTTTAGAGCAATACGCTGGATGAAGAGTTTAGAGCAGTGTTTCTCAGAGTGGTGGCATCAGAGCCACATGAAGTGTTAACAGCAGATGGGAGAAGCCAGGCGAGGAGTCCACATTTAACAAGTTCCCAAATGATCCTATCGGACACAAAAGTTTGATAAATACCAGGTTAGGACAATGCTTCTCAAGCTTTAATGTACACATGAATCACTTGGAGATCTTGTTAAAATGCAGATTTGAATTCAGGGAGCCTGGGGGGTGGGGGGAGGGCAGGTTGAGATACCGCATGTCTAACAAGCTCCCAGGGGAAGCCAATGTTACTGGTCTATGGATCACATTTGAGTGGCAGGGGGTTGGAACATCTATTCCCACTGGAACAAATTAGCTTTGCTTTGTTCCTGGACCACAGATTGAATCTCCCAGCCTCGGGGAGTATTCCGGAAAGCCCAGGCCCTTAGTATTGCTACAACACACTTGAACTGTTCAAAACCAAATTGGAACGCATTCCCTATCTCAGGAGAAGAGCAGTAGCATCCTCTCCAGACACAGATAGCATATAGGTTTAGCATGTAAAAGAATAAATCACTATTACTTGAGTCCTATTTACTGTGCAAAGCACTTAAATGTATTATTTCTAATTCTGACTACAACCCTACAAGGTCGATATTCTTGCTCTGTAGATAAGGAAAATATGACATCTATAGAGAGCCTAAGTTACTTGCTCAAAGTCACATGGCTAGTTGGGGGTTGCAGCTGGGCTTCCAATCCTGCTCTTTTGGGATTCAAAGCCTATGTGCCCTCTGCACATCCTCCATGATGCTAGCTAGGTATGATTGTGGTACAAAATGTGACAGCTTAGGGAAAAAATGGGAAAAAACATTTTCTCCTCTATCAGTCTTTGAGTTCAAGGCTCTGCCAAGGCAGATTCCAGAAGGGGGTGAGGATGGGGATAGGGTTAATTAATTAGTGATCTGTAATACCTTATGAACAATAACATGCAGATTGCATCTTTGTCCATGGTCCCCATAAATCCGATAATACAGATGGAATAAAAAGGACATCTGTGACCAGTGCACTAATCCTAAATGTTGCCACCTACCCTCAGGCTTCTAGCTGTGGAACTCAACCAATAACAAGGAAAAGTTCTTTCTGATCCTTATGGCCTATCGACTTTTGCACCTTCTCTTATATGAGGCTTCTGTAACCCTGAACTTCACAGCAATTCAGGTTGACCCTACCATGTCACTTCATGGTTGCCACACTTCCCTGCCTCTGATAAAACTGCCTGCACCTGAAAAAAAAAAGAGGACTGTTTAGTCAAATATATTGAAAGTGCAGCAATCTTGAAGATTTTCTTTTGAATAGCACAATCTTCTGTATTTGTCATAAGGTTGACATGTAGAGAAATGCATAGCAATAAAGATGCTCAGAGAAATCAGATACTCAAGTGTACCAAATGGAGGAAAGACAGCTATGAATTAAACTCTCTGGGCATTTACCATCCAGTGCCTTTACCATTTAATGACCCATGGGGGGAGGATCCACACTCAGTTTTTTAAACCCCAGGTTGTGTAACTGTCATTTTCCAAACACATATCTTTAATGACAGAACTGTTTACCTATATAATGCAAAATAATACAACTGAAAAGCCACATCTCCTGTAATTATATACACGGTAATCTAAAACCAGACAGCGATATTTGAACTATTAAGAATTATAAACCGATTTTGCCCCTATTGTATTCTCTACACATGACGTTTCAAAAATAAAGACCGAAACCTAAAAACAAACTGGTTTGAAACCCACTTTAAAGTATTTTTAGACTGGTGTGTGTGATTTAAATAGAAGCTAAGAAACTGAGTCTGGAACATTGATCTCGTTTATAAGCATTTCTTATTTCACTCCCAAACCCCAGGAACAGTTCAGATCTCAGAAAATGTAAACCAAAGGTCCACAGAAACCAATGTGAGATTTTTCTGGAGAGACTACTGAAATGTTTGGACAGGAACATGTTTGCAATGAGTCATAATTTATAAGATCTTAATGGCCAATGCCTTCAGTGCCTTTCTTCCTACATTCAATATCATTCTCAAACCCGCTGGTGATACATTTTCCAGGCCCTAATGATTTTTACGAAGTTACCAGATCTGTTTCTAAGGTTGCTACCTAGCACCTTTTCTAGTGCTGATTTTGTAATGCTATCTAAACAGAAAAGAACCCGATTCTCTTCCTAAATTGCAAATCTCTTTAACCAGGCAGTTAATGTCTTTCCCCAGCGAAAGGACACAGTACTTTTAAGACCCCCAAGGAGAAGCTGAGGGGACTTGGGGACATAACAAGTAAAAAAAAAAAAAAAAAAAAAGTGGAAAAGGAAGGGAAGGGGGCCTCTGGGCACTGGCAGACATAATAACAGGATATGTTCGCTTCTAGAGGAAGCAGGAGCTGCAATAGCCCGAGGGCAGGAAAGGCGGAGCCAGTAGCAACCTAAGGAAACCGGGCGCGCGAGGGTTTGCACGGACCTGGCCCACTTAGGGACTCGTGGTCCAGTCGGGTCCAAGGCTGGTGAGCACCTCACCCGCTGGAGACCAAGCTCAGGTCTCCTGGCACTAGTGATTATAAAGAGGCACCCATCTGCTCCCTGCCACCTCCGCCAAAGATGGGCAATGGGGCGAAGAGAAAAGCAAACACCAGGCGCCGCGGCAGGTGAACTTGTCAACAAGTCAGCCCTAGACGCAAGTCCCTGCCCAGAAGGGACCTCGGGGTCCCGGGGCCGCAGCTGCTGGGAAGGCGAGGCACGGCGTGGGTGGAGTGGGCTGGCGTGGGTGGGGGTGCCGCGGGCGCTGGGGCAGGAGATGCGGCCCGCGCCCCGAACGCTTCCCTCCCGCTCCCCCGGGATTGACGCACGCTCTCATGGCGCGCGCGTCCTCCAGACCTGCCCAGGCCCGAGGGAGGAGGCGGGGGAGGGGTAGGGGCTGTAGCGGTCCCCACACGCGGACCAGGGACTGGAGGAGGCGACCCGCCTGTCACCCGCCGCCCGCGGAGGGCACAGTTGGCGACCCCAGGCTGGCGCCCCGACCTCCGCGGCTGCCGGGCGTCTCCCGCTGCAGCCTGCAGCCCGCCCGGCGCGCCCCCGCCCCGACCCCGGACGGCAGGTACCTCGGAGCCCCGGCCCCCGAGAGCCTCCTGGCCGCGGTCGGAGCGTCCCTCCAGCTCCCTCATCCGACGTCAGCGTCAGCAGAAGGCGAGGGAAGGGGCGGGGGGAGCGCAGGAACCGGCCCTTCCTGCGGCGGTCGCCGCCAGCCGGAATAGCAGCCGGCGGAGCCCGTGCGCGCCGCAGCGCAGCGCAGCGGCCGGGGGGAGCGGGCGGCCTCGCCTCCCAGCGAACGCCGGCGCCCTGGGCGCTGCCGCCTCGCCTCCCCTCCCTTCCTCTCTCCTCGGGAGACGCCCGGCAGGGCGACCCCTCCCAGCAGGACCCTGGCATCCGGAGGAGCGAGGGGGCGAAGGCCTCACCTCTTGGGGGGCGGGTCCGGGATGAGGGGGGTGAACCTCCCTCTCTCTCTCCTCCCTGGGGACTTTCCTCGACCCCCATCTCCTGGGGTATCCCCTGCTCGGATCTACCGCTCTGGGTGACCCCACCCCTGCTCTCCCGCAGGTGTTCCACGTGTCCATAGCGTTTACGTCACAATGACCTGGCCTACAGGTGGGAGCCGCAGCGAACGCCCCAGGGTTCCCTCTGCGCTGTGCATGGTGCGTCCTACTCGCTTCCACGTAAGACTCGTGTGGCTTTAGAAAACAGGAGACTAAATGACTTCAATGCCAAGAAAAGTTACAGGGGCCTTTATCTGGAAATCAACTTTGAGCTTAAAGGAGAAAGGCTATGTGAAAAAAAAAAACAACTGTGTATGTATATGTGTGTGTATATATATATATATATATATTTATTTATTTATTTATTTATTTATTTATAGTAATTTCATCTTATCAAGAAAAAAAAAAAAACAAGCTCTTGTCTTTAGAGTACCCTGCGTTGATCACACAAAGAGAAGGTGTTGCAATAGGTGCTTCCTAAAATTATGCTAAAAAGCAATCCCAATGTGTTATGTATGACTCAATCCCTGATTATGTTATATATTTGTAACTAAGTCCATAGAGTAGTCACTGGTTGAAACAATTTAACAATGGAATGGAAGATGGTTACTGACTAACGATGCACAGCTAATATGAACAGGCTACTATGTGTCAGGCATATGCTGTATACTTTACCTTTAATCCTTGCTGTAACCCGATGCTGTAGGTGGAGTTATTATCCCTATGTACAGATGAAGACACTGCCCAGAGTGCCTTTAAGGCGTTCAGCTCATAGCATATTCAGCAGGGAGTTGAATCCAGGGTTTTCTGAACCATGCATGAGAGGTTTAGCTTAATCTTAGGATAGAAAGGTGCCTAACCAAGGTAGATAGAGAAAAAAGTATAGGTGATGTTAACATTTAAATAGAAAGTAAAATGGTACAGCTCCATAAATTTATATAACCTTAAAAGTTGACATTATTCTTTGGATATATTCTTCAGGGATTCTGTTTGTCATAGACAGATTTGAGTTCGTTCTAGTATGTCACAAAATACAAAGCCGAGAAAACATCAAATCCTTAATAAATGTTTACAAATAAGTACTGAATTAATATGATCTACAAAATAGCAAATTGTTGAAAAGCTGAAATTCAAGAGGAACTTTGGAAGAGAAAAACATAGTTCCTATATATTTGGCTTTTATAAGAAGCACTCAAAGTAACCCATTAACAACACAGACCAAATTATTTTTGCTGTTTGTACGAAGGAAAAAAAAACAAAACCCTTTAAAATAAGAAGCAAAGGCTTCTTTGTGAAGGCAAGACAATTAAGATGTTTTGTTTTAAAATATTTAATTCTAAGGACCATTAATGTGTAAAAACATTATTTGGAATTTTAAAAAATATTATCTCTAACAGAATAAAGTGCTATTTCTAACATAGTAAGTGCTCCATGGATGTTGGGTGAATATCAATCAGTTGTTTGAAACACTGGGAAATAGATCACAAAATTTCCTGACTCCCTAATGTTCTCCTTTCCACCAGTGGTGATTTACTAGTTACATGAAAATGTATTAGAAACCCTATTTATCAAAGGCTGGCTTTGTGGAAGATACTTAAATTTGTTACAAGAAAGCCAGTAGAACACAGGTTGATAGTGTATTCGCAGTATCTTCTCCAAATGCAGATAATTGGAACACAAGCTTTGGAGGAAATGAGTACAAAAGCTGATTTATGTAACTAATTACTCAGGTTTCTTTTACTTCTCTAAAGGCCAAGGTGAAAACTTGGGCAGTGACTCAAACAATGCAAGCGAAAAGTGGCTTTGAAGACAGTGTCTTAAGGTGAACAAATATGTTCTACAAGCAGTATCAGGTCAGCATGGCACTGAAATTCCTTGGTCTCCCAGAGAGTTTAAGGTAAATCTTTAAATGACTTTTTATCATTATTGTTGTCCTAACATTAGGATATTTCAGAAAGGAAATCATAAACTCATGCTCATTCTATATCACCACAATGAGGGTTTTTCCTTCTCATTAAAAAAAAAAAAAATTGCTCCATCTATAAACTTCCATTTGTTTCTGGATATCCAGTTGTTTCAGTCTTACAAAGTACCTGAAACAATTTCTAAAAAGAGAATGGCTATTGAATGATGGGATCTGAAATTAAGAAAAATTATACAGTAATATATACTTTGAAGAGTGTAACAGGATGACAAAAAAACTTTTCCACAGAATAAATAAATACGTATTCAATTTAATGATTTTTTGAGAGGTTCCAAGGTTCAAGATGTGCTAATAGAACCACATGAATTAGGAATTGTGTTAGGCTTTCATTAACAGAGACCCAGAGTAGGAGTGGATTGAATGAGGTAAAGGTTTATTTTTTCTCACATTAAGGAAATTGGAAAGTAGTCTGGAGTTGGTGTGGCCTCTGATGGATCATCAGGGTTTTGACCTCCTCTCCTTTTATTTCATCATTCAAAGCAAAGCAATATTGCTTAAAGGTAAAATCCAGGCAAGGATGTGGAGAAGTAGAAACCTTCATGTGTTGCTGGTGGGAATGTAAAATGTTGCAGTTGCTGTAGGAAACCATCTAGCAGTTCCTCAAATGATTAAGCATAGAGTTACCAGATGGCCCAGCAATGCTACTCCAAGGTGTATCTTTCCAAGAGAAATGAAGGCCTCTGTCCACACAAAAACTTGCACACAAATGTCTATAGAAGCATTACTCAAAATAGTCAAAAGGTGGAAACAATCCAATTGTGCATCAGTGGATGAATGGGAAACAAAATGTATTATATCTGTATAATGGAATATGATTGGGCCATGAAAAGGAATGAAATACTGGTACATGCTGTAACTGGGATGAACCTTGAAAACACGCTAATTGAAGAAAGCCAGCCACAAAAGTCCATATATTATATGATTCCATTTTTGCAAAAGTCTAGGGTAGGGAAATCTACAGAGACAGGAAGTAGACTAACGATCATTTAGGGCATACACTTGTATATGTATGAATGTATGTATACAAACTGTTAATCTACATATAATACAGTATATTTGAGTGGACTGTTGATGTATATTTTTAGGTTGTATTTTTAATGTTCTGAGTGCCCCTTATGCTTTCAGCCAACATGAGCAAATAGGGCAGAATGCCTTTCTTCCTTTTGGGAACCATAATGCAAATGAGTGCCTTACCACTCATCTGGACAGATAATTATAGTTTCCTACTTCTCCTTTTATTTTCTGACTCATCTTTGACAGCATCATATATACTTATGGTACCTGTTTTAGAGTCAGATGCTAAGATAGAGCTTAAGCTGCTGTTTTTATCAATAATAATAATAAGAGCTATACATATAAATCTCTTCAAAGCTCAAGTCATTAATAAGACAAAAATCACTTCTCCTGAAGTTGCTGGGAGATTAAAATTAGATAATCTGTAAGAATAAGTTTAGGAAAAACTGATGTTTTAAAAATTATTACTGGGGCGCCTGGGTGGCTCAGTTGGTTGAGCATCCAACTTCAGCTTGGGTCATGATCTTGCAGTTCATGAGTTCGAGCCCCACATCGAACTCTGTGCTGACAGCTTGGAGTCTGGAGTCTGCTTCGGATTGTGTCTCCCTCTCTCTCTCTGCCCTTCCCCCACTCGTGCGCGCACGTGCGCGCGCTCTCTCTCTCTCTCTTTATTTATTTATTTAAAAAAAATTTTTTTTTCAACGTTTATTTATTTTTGGGACAGAGAGAGACAGAGCATGAACGGGCGAGGGGCAGAGAGAGAGGGAGACACAGAATCGGAAACAGGCTCCAGGCTCTGAGCCATCAGCCCAGAGCCCGACGCGGGGCTCGAACTCACGGACCGTGAGATAGTGACCTGGTTGAAGTCGGATGCTTAACCGACTGTGCCACCCAGGCGCCCCTCTCTCTCTCTTTAAAAAATAAATAAACATTAAAAAAATTTATCAAACTTACTGTCTGATTTTATTGGTGATAGAAATTTAACTTAAACTAAATTTTATTGGCAAAAATGAAATCATTTATTCCCTGTATTGTATAATACTTAAAGAGGAATTAGATGTACTCAACTAAGTATCTTGACCAATTTTGGTTTAATTTTTATCACCATTTGTGCTCTTTCATAGCAAAATAAAGCTTTTATACTCTCAGTAGAGCTAGTTATGTCTTCAAGCAAATTTGCATGCACATGTGAAAATAGAACAAATGTTTAATTAATAGCATTAACTTTTGTTAATTAAAATTAACTTCCTTTCCCTTCAAAATTAAGGCTTCAATGAAGAGAGGGGATTTATTTTACACCAAAGAGAAAGGTAATTATTTTCATTCCCATACTAGCTTAGATTTTTGGGTAAATAACACCCTGCCTCTTCACTCCCAGTATCATCCATTGGAACTTATGCAAGAATAATGCTGATGATAACATCAAATGGGACATCTTATCCACTATTTTGTCTGTCATGTATCTTCTGGTATAATTCTGCTTTTGACTAGGAACTATGTTGCAGTTGGGGCAAACCTCAGCCCAGGGTTCAGAGCTCTGCCTCTGGTCTCATACGTGAGACTGTGTCCCCCAAGGCAGACATAGGGCTAATGACCCCTTAAAGGGTCAGTGTCTGATAAGGAATAGGATTTACCTGAAAGAATAGGATGGAACTTTCTAGGTCTTTGGTCTTCTCCTCCTTGCCAGAGGGACAATTTAAAAGAATCACTAAGAACCCTGGTGCAGATAATAAAGGTAATTCAGGTGAAGCATGGACTAAACGTTTGGTTTAATCATGAGGTTAAGAGGCTGATTTTGGACTATAAACCATATTTCCTAACTCCCAATCAGATGCACTTTTCCTCTTCTAGTTTTAACTCTGTCACTAACTTACTTTAGCAGAGACTGTTAATCGTTTCCCAGTATTTTTTCTCCCCACACCCACAGTAATATAAATTTCAGCTGAGTATACATTGTTGCCCAGTTGTGGACTATATTTTCTAGCTTCCCTGGCTTCAAGGTATGGTCATGTGACCAGGCTTTAGCCAATAGAATATGACTGAAAGACACATATGTAACTTTTGGGTCATGCTGTTGAAAGAAACACACCCTCACCTTTATCTTGCCCCTTTCTCACTGGTTGGATCACCTTTGGCCATGAAGGTGAGGGCAGTATATTGGTGACAGCAAGAAACTTGGATTCCTGACCACTTGATCTGCCACACTGCCCTGGTCCTCCTGCATGGGTTATTTTATGAGAAGGAAATAAAGTCCAGTATTTTTTAAGCCACTATGTTTCATCGATATTATTACAACCCAGCCTTTATCCTAATAAATTCGTCTACTCCATGATGTTGGATTAGATCTTCATTTTCCATGAAGTTTATATTCTAAAACAATGTTTCTCAATCTGTGGGTCACAGGACCTCAATTTGAGGGACTTTGGTGTTAATACAAAGGATGTTAATGTATTTGGTGTTAATACAAAGGGATATGGATCTTTAACCAGTAACATCTGCAGACAAAACACCTGCTTCAGAAATAAAAATTGTGATTTTTGAAATACATATTATGTGATTATAAAACAAAAGTTTTTCAAAATTAGTGAATTTCTTGAAATGCAGGTAATGAATCTTTTAGCTTTGTTCATTTGAAAAAGTCTATTTCACCTTTGTTTTTGAAGTACTTTTTCACTGGTAAAGAATGCCAGTTGACATTTTTTTCTTCAGTACTTTAAAGATGTTGCTATGTTGTGTTCTAGCGTATATTGTTTCAGGCATGAAATCTGTCATCTTTATCTTTGGTCCTCTGTGTCTTATTTTTGGCCACTTTTTAACATTATTTTCCCTTATAACTAGTTTTACAAAACTTGATTACGATGTCCTTGGTATTGTTTTTTTTCTTATAGTTTTCGGTTTGTTGAGCTTCTCAGTGCTGTGGGTTTCTTGTTTCATTCGAACTGTGAAAAACTTCAACCATACCCAGAATAACCAACACAATATTGAAGGAGAGAAACAAAGTCAAAGGACTGACACTACCTGACTTCAAAACTTACTGTGTAGCTACAGTAATCAAGGTAGTGTGATACTGGCAAAAGAATAGACAACTGGAACAATGGAGCAGAATAGAGAACCCAGAAGTAGAGACCTGCAAATATAGTCATCTAAACTTTGATGAAGAAATAAAGGCAATTCAATGAAGAAAAACATAGTCTTTTCAACAAATGCTGTTGGAACAACTGGACATCTACATGCCAAAAAATGCATCTAGACACAGACCTTATATCTTTCACAAACATTAACTCAAAGTGGATGAAAAATCCAAATGTAAAACACAAAACTATAAACTCTCTAGAAGATAATGTAGGAAAAAATTTAAACAACCTCAGGTATGGTGATGACTTCTTCGATAAAACACTAAAGGCACAATCCATAAAAGAAAAAAATGGGGTTGTATGGAAACCAACTTGACAATAAATTTCATATATTAAAAAAAAGTATGGAAACCAATTTGACAATAAATTTCATATATTAAAAAATTAAAAAAAATCTAAAAATGGGCAAATTGGACTTAATTAACCTCAAACATTTCTGCTAAATACACTGTCAAGAGAATGAGAAGACAAACCACACACTAGGAGAAAATATTTTCAGAGAACATCTGATAGGCGCACCTGTGTGCCTCAGTCGATTAGGCATCTGACTTTGGCTGAGGTCACGATCTCATGGTTCCTGAGTTCGAGCTCCACCTTGGGATCTGTGCTGACAGCTCTGAGCATGGACCCTGCTTTGGATTCTGTGTCTCCCTCTCTCTGTTCCCTTACCCTGCACAAGCTCTGTCTCTCAAAAATAAATAAATGTTTAAAAAAATAAAACTATAAAGAACTTATCAAACTCACCACCCAAAACACAAATAATCCAGTGAAAAAATGGGCAAAAGACATGAATATACACTTTTCAAAAGAAGGTGTCCACATGGCTAACAGACACATGAAAAAATGCTCAGTATCACCATCGTCAAGGAAATACAAATCAAAACCACAATGATATACCACCTCACACCAGTCGGAATGTCTAAAATTAACAACTCAAGCAACAACAGATGTTGGCAAGGATGTGGAGAAAGAGGATCTCTTTTGCATTGTTGGTGGGAATGCGAGCTGGTGCAGCCACTCTGGAAAACAGTATGGAGCTTCCTCAGAAAACTAAAAATAGAACTACCCTACAACCCAGCAATTGCACTACTAGGTATTTATCCAAAGAATACAGGTGTGCTGTTTCGAAGAGACACATGCACCTCAATGTTTATAGCAATGATATCAACAATAGCCAAAGTATGGAAAGAGCTCAAGTGTCCATTGACAGATGAATGGATAAAGAAGATATCCTATGTATATACAATGGAGTATTATTCGGCAATCAAAAAGAATGAAATCTTGCCATTTGCAACAACGTGGATGGAACTAGAGGGTATTATGCTAAGTGAAATTAGAAAAAGACAAATATCATATGACTTCACTCATGTGGAATTTAAGATACAATATAGATGAACATAGGAGAAGGGAAGCAAAAATAATATAAAAATAGGGAGGGGGACAAAACACGAGACTCTCAAATATAGAGAAGAAACAGGGTTTCTGGAGGGGTTGTGAGTTGGAGGGTGGCTAAATGGTCAAGGGGCATTGAGGAAGACACTTGTTGGGATGAGCACTGGGTGTTATATGTAGGGTTTGAATCCCTGTATTCTACTCCTGAAATCACTATTGCACTACATGCTAACTAACTTGGATGTAAATTTTTGAAAAATTAAAAAAAAATCTGATAACAGTCTTTTCCAAAATATACCAAAAAAGTGTTAAAATTCAACAATAAGAAAATGAATAACTCAATAAATGGGCAAAAATTTTGAACAGACTCCTCACCAAAGATGATATACAGATGCCAAATAAGCATTTTAAAAAGATGCTGAATATCCTATGTAATTAAGAAATTGCAAATTTAAACAATGAGATATCACTGCACATCTATTAGAATGTCTAAAATCCAAAACATTGAAAACATCAAATATTGGAGTGGATGTGGAACAAAAGGAATTCTCGTTTATTGCTGGTGGGAATGCAAGATGGTACAGCCACTTTGGAAGACACTCTGGTAATTTCTTACAAAACTAAACTTACTCTTACCGTAGAGTCCTACAATTACTTTTCTTACAATTACTTTACCCAAATGATTTGAAAACATGTCCACACAAAAACCTGCACGTGAATGTTTATAGCAGCTTTGTTCACAATTGCCCCAAATTGAGAGCAACTAAGATGTCCTTCAATAGATGACTGGATAAACAAACTGTAGTACATCCACACAGTAGAATATTAATCAGTGTTAAAAAAAATTGCTATCAAGACATGAAAAGACATGAATAAACCTTAAAAGCATATTGCTAAATGAAAAAAACCAGTCCGTAAAGGCCACACTGTATGATTCCCGCTATATGACATTTTGGAAAAGGCAAAACTATGGGGACAGTAAAAAAAAAAAAAAAAAAAAAAAAATCAGTTGCCAGGGACTTGGGTGGAAGGAGGGAGAGATAAATGTTTTTTCCTAATATCCAATATTTTGAGAGGCATTTGTTTGTTTTAGTTATTTTAGAGGGGGCTATAAATCTGGTCCCTATTATTCCATCGTGATCAGAAGCCCCTTTATTAATGATTTATTTTTTTTTCTTTTTTTTTTTAATTTTTTTTTTCTTTTTCAACATTTTTTATTTATTTTTGGGACAGAGAGAGACAGAGCATGAACGGGGGAGGGGCAGAGAGAGAGGGAGACACAGAATCGGAAACAGGCTCCAGGCTCCGAGCCATCAGCCCAGAGCCTGACGCGGGGCTCGAACTCACGAACCGCGAGATCGTGACCTGGCTGAAGTCGGACGCTTAACCGACTGCGCCACCCAGGCGCCCCATTAATGATTTAATAGTAACCTTGCATTATGTATTTTCGTGACCAATATATATTATATATATTACTGCTATTTTGTGGGGGATAATCTAGGAATTTTTTTTATATTGAAGAACAGTCCTTACAAATGTTCCAACTGAAAGGGCAGGGACAAGCAATTCATAAAAGAAGAAATTAAAATAGTAAAAATGAAAAATATACTCATTTGCAATAAATTTTTTTCAACTTAAAACATTTTCACCAATCATACTGGCAGACATGATAATGCTCAGGCTTGATAGGGATATGGGAAGTGGACACTGACATACTCTCATAAACAGAGGATAGAAGCCAAAATTTTATGCACCTTAATGGGGGGCAGTTTGGCAATTTATACAATATATTAATTGTGCATATTTTGTGACACTGCATTTCCACTTTTAGGATATTTTCTCTGAAGAAATTATTAGTTGAGTGTACAAAAGTGAGCATATGAAGATGAGCATCACAACACTGTTTATAATGTTAAATTCTGAAAGCAGTAAATTGTCCATCTAAAGGAAGGATTAGTTAATTAATTATACATTTAGTACATTTACATATTGGAATGCTGACAGCTATTAAAAAGAATGAGGTCAAAGTATTTTTTTAATATGATTTATTTTCAAGTTGGTTAACATACAGAGTATACAGTGTGCTCTTGGTTTTGGGGGTAGATTCCCGTGATTCATTGCTCACATACAATACCCGGTGCTCATCCCAAGAAGTGCCCTCCTCAATGCCCATCACCCATTTTCCTCTCTCCCCCACACCCTCCATCAACCCTCAGTTCTCTGTGTTTAAGAATCTCTTATGGTTTGCCTCCTTCCCTCTCTGTTTGAAACGATTTTTTCCCCTTCCTTTCCCCCATGGTCTTCTGTTAAGTTTCTCAAGATCCACATATGAGTGAAAACATATGAAATCTGTCTTTCTCTGGCTGACTTATTTCACTTAGCATAATACCCTCCAATTTCATCCATGTTGCTGCACATGGTAGGATTTCATTCTTTCTCATTGCCAAGTAGTATTCCATTGTATATATAAACCACATTTTCTTTATCCATTCTTCAGTTGATGGATATTTAGGCTCTTTCCATAATTTGGCTGTGGTTGAAAGCACTGCTATAAACATTGGGGTGCATGTGCCCCTATGAATCAGCACTCCTGTATCCTTTAAATAAATTCCTAGTAGTGCTATTGATGGGTCATAGGGTAGTTCTATTTTTAATTTTTTGAGGAATCCCCACACTGTTTTCCAGAGCGGCTGCAGAGGTCAAGGTATTTTTAAATGAAAATAGCTGCTTGCACAACACCATGTGAAATATGATTCTATTTAAGTAAATATTTTATGTTAACTATATATTTACACTCACTAAAGTGTTAACAGGCTGTCTCGAGGGAGTGATCTCTTTTTGGATGTAGTTGGAGGTGGGGGTTTTCACTTATACTCTTTAGTAATATTTGGCTTTTTTGAAGTGTACATATAGCATTTTACAATTTGCAAAATTAGGATGATTTAAATTTTGACACTAGAAAAAATGGTTCTCACATTTGAAAATATTTGGAAATACTGGTTTATCTAACACTGATTTGTATTCTAAAATTCCTTTTTGATTTAATATTTTATTCCAATCTCTAGATTAACCTTGAGATTCTTCCAAGTGCTAGATAGAAGTCCATGCCTTCTTTCTCCTTGCTGCTGCCACATGACAAAGGTGAATTGCTTAGGTAAAGCTTGGTTGCTTCCTGATTGGGGTGGGGGGTGCATACACTGGCTCAAATTCTTTTTTTTTTCCTCATATTTCAAGTGACTTTATTGCTGGGTGACAATCTTGGGCTGCTTATGGGAAACATGCATATAGGCATTTGGAGTTGGAAAGCTAGAAGTGGTTCTAGTAACTTCTCTGGGGGATCAGAGGTTGTTCAGATTTGAGTGGAAAGGGAGGATCATGAATTGACTTTACATTAAAGATCTTTTCCTCCAGAGCTCTTTCCCTTACTTATCTCTACAGGCTTAAAAACCTCAAAATTATTTTGAATTCCTTTCTAGTAGTTTGCTGCATGTCTTCAATTAGTCGTTAAATCCCTGTTCATTACAGGTTTATGATTCATAACAAGAAACTACAGTTTCTTTTCTAGTGTCTCTCAGCTGTTCTGTCCATTTTTCTCAGTTTTATCTCCATTGCCTTTCCAACTCTGGCTGTTTCTTATCTGGAAATTAAAAATTTCTTTCCATCCAGGATTGTATATTTAGACCAATACTAAGTCAGTTAAGATTGTTACAATATAAGTGTTTTA